CCAGCAGGCCTGGCAGATCACCACCTTCATCCTGATACAATCTGCTGAAGTAGACTCGCGCCATTTCCAGCATGATAGATTCATCTTCAATCCAGTTCCCTCCGTCATCCTTGAGCATAGTAACCCGATTCCTGTTTCTCCGCCGGAGGGTTCTGGTGTGGAAATATGTTGTATTCTTGTCCCCCGAGCTAATCCATTCAAGACGAGACTTTTGGCACCAGAGAAGCTCCTCCTGAAACAGGACCAGTTCCAATTCCTCTTGACACTGCCGAAGCTGAGCTTCCCTCCCATGGCCGCCCGCAGCCTGCTCAAGAGCTTCAAGACGCTTCAGCAGCTTATCTTTGCGCATAGTAATGTGGCCGAAGACATTTCTGTTCCAAATCATTGCCTCTTGAGCAAAGGCAGTAGTCGATTCCGTATAGGAGCTTCCCCTCGCCCATGCCTCGTCCGCCATGTCTCTGAAGCCCTCATGAGTGAGCCAAGCCGCTAGGAAACGGAAAGGCTTTGGCCCCGCCTGGTGGTGTGACTCGGCCAATGAGACTAGAATCGGACGGTGATCGGACTTTTTCATGCGGGGCAGGTGTCTCACCACTGACTCCGGGAAATTGGTCGCCCAATAGTTGTTGGCCAACCCCCTATCCAATCTTTCCCGCAGCCCCGTACGTAGGGCTGCAAACGAGCCGAGTCGAGTCGAGTTTTTGCTTAGCTTGAGCTCGGCTCGTTTATTAATTTTTCAGCTCGAGCTCGGCTCGAACTCGAATTTTGATAATCCAGCTCGAGCTCGAGCTCGGCTTGAATAAAAATAATCTAGCTCGAGCTCGACTCGGTAGAGCTCGATAAATGCTCATTAACATAGCTTGTTAAGCTGAGTACAAGCTCGGCTCAAGATGAGCTCGATCTAAAATCATTTTTGCTGGAAAAATGTATAAACATAAGAATTTAAATGATAGAAAGAACACTAGAAACTAGAAATAACATCTAAATTTCATACACATCTGTATTATAAGACAATGTTCATGTTTAAAAGAGTAATTCATCCTTCCACAAGCTCAAAACAAGGCAGCTCGCGAGCTTAGCTCGACAAGCCACCTAATCAAGCTAGCTCGCGAGCTTATCAAGCTGAGCATGGTCTAGCTCAGGCTTGGCTCGTTAACTAACGAGTTGGCTCGCGAGCCGGCTTGTTAAATAACGAGTCGAGTGTCGAACGAGTTTTTTCCGATTCGAACGTCGAGTTGCTCGCGAGCGGCTTGGCTCATTTGCAGCCCTACCCGTACGGAACCAAGTGTAGGCTGGCCCCTCGAACCGCAGGTCGATCAATCCAGTATCCTGAACTACCTCCTGGAAATCCCTGATTCTAGCCGCATCAAAGGGGGCACCCCCTAGTTTCTCCGACGGGCTAAGGATGGAGTTGAAGTCGCCCACCAGAAGCCAGGGTTGCACCATATCCTCGGCCATCTTTCGTAAGAAGCCCCAAAGCTCGCGTCGTTTCATGGGTGCCGTACTGCCGTAGATAGCGGACAGCTGCCATGCAACGTCTTGAGGAGAAAGCCCCTGCACCTGCACGTGTAAACATTGTTGGTTAGAGTCGATTCTAGAAATATTCAGCTCACTGGAATTCCAAAGCATCCAGATTCCTCTAGAGAAGCCCACAGCATCAACTATGAGGTTTTCGTCGTAGCCCATCTTGCGAATGACATCAATAGCTCGGCTCCCACTTATTCTGGGTTCCACTATGATCACAATATGGGGCTTAGACTTTCTACGATACTCACGAAAGGCCCGTAGAAAGTCCTTACCCCCCGCTCCCCTACAGTTCCATGAAAAAACTTTATAATCCATAAAGAAAAATGAAGAGGAAAGAAACTCCCTTAGATTTACGCAGTCGGCGGATTGTCCCGTCGATTTGCATTCCTGATGAATTATTCACTGTGTGCACGGTGGTGTCCGGTGACTGCATTTGCCCGTTGTGAGGGCTGAGGTCTGGCGGACGACCCTTTACTTCATCTGCCCTTGGTGTCACCGTCATCCGGGGCCGGCCGTTTCCACCATCATGCTCTGTGCTCGAAGGGAACGACTCCATTTCCTCCTGATTTGGTTGGCCTGCTGTTGTACCCGTTTTGGAGATGACAGTCTGGGTTTCCCTTTCTTTTCCGGTCGCGTCTTTATTGTTGCTCCCGATGGTCACCTTAGCTCGAGACTCCCTGGACCGCATACTCTCCTTTTCTTGGCTCACCGGCGGCGTCTGTTTTGGATTTTTGTTCTTACTCCTACTGTTTCCCGACTGTTGTTGTGTTCTGTTGTTGGTCGCAGTAGGAATGTCCCCATGTTCAGACCCCGGTGATATTATATCCTCCTCCTCAAGGGCAGCAAAACGTGATCCCCCGGCATGCTGACGTGTATCGTGAGATGTTTTGGTTCCCTTCAGTCTCATGTTCGCTTCTTGGTCCTTCTTCTGGGTACGGGGTTTGCGTTTGGCAATCATCCATTCCCCATAGAGGGGTTCATTTTGCTTAGCCGCTGGTGTGGGTTCCTGCACCGTGTGCTCCGCTTCCATAGGTTCCTGCGATTTAACGCACGAGCAGCCCCACTTCTCTGCATAGGTGCCACAGTTCAGGCAGATATTCTCCAGCCCTTCGTACTGGATAAAATATTTCTTGCCTCTGATGGAGAATTTTGACAGTAAAGGTCGGGTCAGATCCACCTGAACACAAACGCGGGCGTAGTCACTTCTGGCCGCTGTGCGAGTGGCTTCATCAATTCGGATCGGTCGTCCAATACGACTCCCAATTTTCATCATGGCCTCTTGGTGAAAGTATTGAATCGGAATATCAAGCAGTCTCGCCCAAACTAGCGTCGATGAAATTTCATGATTATGAGGGTCGAAGTTCTTGTCCCACATGTGCACCGACAGGTAGTTCGGACCTATCATCCACGGGCCGTCCGTGACTGCTCTATCGTAGTCCATGCCACTTGTGAAACGAACGAGGAAGTAGCCATTCTTCATTGATGTAACTTGGATTCCTCCTGCCTTCGCCCATATCGTGTTCAGTCGGATAGACACCGCTGTGTACAACACTATTCTTCCCAGTGGTTTCACTATCAGGGCTGATCTCAGCTTTCGGCAGTATTCCCTTTCCTTGGCTGCTGTGAAATAGATCAGCGGACAGGTAGGGTCTTCCTCGCCGTCAAAACCCTCCTCCAGACCATCCTCACGCATTGCCGTCGCATAATCTTCACCGTCAGAGTCCGCCGTATACCACTCGTCCATGCGAGCTGCCCCCCCCCCCCCCCGAATAACATGCGCGCTGCTCCTGTCCCGTTTGACCAAGCGTTTGGCCTAGGGCTTAGCGGCGGGGTAGTACCTGATCCATCTGCTTTGCTCGGAGCCTCGTGTACCGGCACAGCTTGCGCCGGCGGCTCTGTTTGCTTCACCCTCTTCTTCATGTGCTGCGCTTCCCTGTCACTTTTTGGGTTTGGGGACGACGTCTCCGTAGGGGGTCGCCGTTGCCCCGCGATCGCCTCAGGATGGCTGGCCGCATGTAGCTTGCCCCCGGCCGGCGGCACGACGTCCGCCGACATCACGTCAAGAACCTAGCTCCAGTCCAAACGGTCGTTCGCCCTCCGAAATTTGCGGAGCGAAAACCCTAATACAATCCTTACCATTTCCATATTTCTCATAACCTGAAACAAGAATGAGAAATAAAATTGCGATATGAAGTTGTCTAAAGCCGCATTGGAATAGCTAGTCACGAGCCGCATTTTGAGTTTGACGTCATTCCTAGAGATAAAAAAAAAACGCTTCCACTTTCCAACTTTACCAACCACGGTAAAAACAATTCATCACGTGGCTACAGTACTAGAATCACTCGGTCCAAATATTTTCGTTTAATGGCATAATCCGCAACCGTATATAGTTTTCAACAAGTTGATGACATGATACGATGGTTTTTACTTTTAGCAAACACAAACATGCTTTATGGTATAAATTGTTTCTTTTTCTATCTTTAATTTCTACTAAGTGCCTATGACTAGTGCATGTTTGATACTAAGTGCGTTTTGAACAATTTACATATACTACAAATTTAAGCACAAAGTTGTAAGCACATGAAACATATTTAATGTTTGATCTCCAACAATTGTTCCAACTACTGAGATCCACTATTATCTCTCGACAGACATTCATTCCACAAAACTTAATTATGTGGCTAAATTGAGAGGCAAAGGTTGCAGGGTTTCAACCCATAATGACCGTGGCATGATGATAAAGATATGATTTTAGTCATGGAGATCCACGATTGAAACTTAATTTCACTATCATTGTTGTAGATACTATCATCTAAGAGGTACCAGCAGTCAGATTATATACCTTCCAATTATAGTGGTCGGAATACCTTAGTTTTGACGGTTATGCTCTCACTATAAAAAATTCAAATTTTCAAAATTAAGCTGGTTAGGAAACATATACTTGCTATTAGGGCTGGCTATTCTGTCCGGCCTTTTCGGTTTTACCCGAAACCGGTCCGTATAACTCGGATCGGGACTGGATAGCAAACAATCCAATCTCATATTCGGGCTTAGATTTGAAGTAAAAAAAACATGTTCGGGACCGGACCAAAACCGGATAAAGACTGGATAAGAGAGCCCAACACCCAAAACTCCACTAAAATCTCCACAATCTCAATCTAAAATCAAGACCGAATTTGGACCGGACCGGGTCAGATAGACCGGGTCAAAATCGGACTGTATCCAATCCAATCTTTGATCTTTATATTCCCGAAAAGACCGGACTGGGACCGGATCAATTTGAGCCAATTTATGAAGAATAGCTCTCATCTATAACAAACTTCAAACTTGGACTAATTAAGATAAACATTGTACAAAGATGGTTTAAGACAAACTCTCTTGCGTACTAGTGAGTAAAATGATATTAACCCAATAATCTCTCACCTCTTCCCCACCAAAACCACTATAAAATCTCCACACTACAGCACTGACCAACAGTACTTCACCCTCCCTCTTCACTGCTACATACATACAAAATCTATCCACACTGATTTCTCCATCCTACAGCTCCCAAAAAATGGCCGCAACCAAAACCATTGCCATCCTCCTAACTCTCAACCTGCTGCTCTTCACGTCGGCCACCGCATGGTGCGGCAGCTGCCCACCTGTCCCCAAGCCCAAGCCCAACCCAAAGCCCGACCCGAGCCCGGCCACCGGGAAGTGCCCCAGGGACACCCTGAAGCTGGGGGTGTGCGCCCACGTGCTCAACTTGGTCAACGTCACGGTGGGTGCGCCGCCGGTGAAGCCCTGCTGCAGCCTCCTTGATGGGCTGGTGGATCTGGAGGCTGCACTTTGCCTCTGCACGGCGATTAAGGCCAACATTTTGGGGATCAACCTCAACATCCCCATCTCCCTCAGCTTGCTCCTTAACGTCTGCGGCAACTCCGTCCCCCCTGGCTTCCAGTGCTGATTATATTCGTCGATCCATTATGGATGGTGTTGTTAAAGCTAGCTAGCTACTGTTGTTGAGCCACGCCCACGCATATGAAGCTAGCTAGTCAATTTGGTGTTGTACGTTGTTGTTGGTTTAGTGGCCTTACTTAGCTTGTTGCACGTTTTGTTTCCTCTTTTCCGTTTGTTATTGTATGACTGTGAAGTGGCGCGGACAGTGGTCTGTTTGTTTGTTTGTGTGTGGTTGTTGATTTGTAACCTTAATTAATTAAGTGTATGATTGATATAATTTTCTCAATGTTAATCATAAGAGAAGAGTCGGTATTTATAATATGTTATCCTCCAACAAATAAATAGCAACTACGTTGCGTGATTATACTAGCAGCAAATCGGATTATCGTAATTTATACATGTCTATATATATTTTTCAATAATATCAATCTCAATATTCGAGTTTTGAGTATGTTGTATATTATATGTCTTATGTAATCAAAATTTAATTTCAACTCTAAAAAAATATATTGACTTGGATTATTAAATGGTTACGAGCACTCACAATAATACTACGTGTTGATTGTAAAGTATGTTTAGGAACCCATCAATAAAAAATACCTAAATAATTAATTTGAACACTAAAAACAATTTTGGCCATTATCATAACTAACAAATGTTATCAAACTTAATTAACTGATGATGTGCTGTTTGATTCTTTAAAGTTTCATTTGTCGCCAAAATGTGAGGCATTTAGCGGAATGGTATAGCATATGCTAAATAATTCAGATTTTTATTTAGATAATTCTGAATAGTTTGAACTATCATAGAATTTCAATTTCTGCAATCATATCAGAGTCTTAAGATGCATGTCCTAAATAATTGATGTTGAAATCATGATAAATTCCAATGTTAAGAATACAATAAATAGGATGGACTTGTTAGAGTTTCGAATTCATCACTAGTTAATTTTTTGTTTCACGCGAGACGTATAACGAATCAAATACGTCCATGTTTCAGACCTCACACAAGAAACAAAGTATTTAAATGAGTAGGTACATGATAGCATAGCCTTTAGTGTGATTGCTAATAAATCTCATGCAAATTCTAGTACATATTAGATTCCGTATTAACTTTCGATTTCGGCACAAGATAGGCATGATAATCAACACAAACTCTAAGTTTTAGTGGTGATTAGACCTTCGTTTGTCGTAACGAAAAACCAAAGCTGACCAGAATATTAAAGTACCCCAACAGAGGCCAAACATACAAAGAAACACTGAACTCAACTAAATCACCCGCCCAGAACTGGGATAAAAAACTAACAGCACACACCCGAACCACCCGGCTGATCACCCCCTAGCAACCTGCCACCAAACAGAGAAAGATGGACCAGAACAAAATCAAATCCTCGGCAATTAAACGGCAAGCAGAGCATCTTTCAACCAGCTCTCTCCCTGCGATTTCTCCACTTTTCCGTGCGCAACCAGCCATTCCATAGAGTGCCTTGCAGCTTTCTTAGCCACCACAGAAGCACATGACCGCCTTCTCTTCAAATATCCGTTGGTTCCTCTCAATCCAAACACCCCACCATACAGCGTGTAGGGTGCAGCTCGCAAACCATCCATCGACGTTCACAGGCTCGGACAATGTAACACTTTTGACCACCGAGCTTAAATCGCTCCCTCTGAATCCCAGCTCCGCTCTATTCCTGTTGAGGAAACTCCAAACATCTTTAGTGAAGTCACACTCCATCAAAACGTGCATCGCCGATTCATTCTCTTGACAGCAGAGGATACATCTACTCGCCAACGACCACCCCCGCTTCATTAAGTTGTCCATAGTTAGGATCCTGTTGTGACAAGCCAGCCACATAAAGAAACACACTTTCAAGGGAATCACAGGCCTCCAAATCTGCTTGGCGGGGAAGTCTTGGACGCCGACCAAAAAGTCTTTAGACACCTGCTTGTAACAAGATCTCACAGAAAACTTGCAGTTGTTATCAGGGTTCCAAATAATCCTACACGGACTAGAATTAAGCTTAAAACCCTCACAATTTTGCAAAAAATTTAACAATTGAACTCTCTCCCTCTCAGCCCCCCTCCCAACGAATATTTAAGGGTAATAGACCATCTCACCGTCCCATCATCGAACGAGGCCACATCGGAGAGGCTAGCATTGGGGTCAACAGCAGCAGCGGCGACACGAGGAAAGGCTGAAGCCAACACCATCCCTGGAACCCATACATCGTACCAGAAGGAGATAGAGGTGCCGTTTCCCGGATCCATGGATGCAAACTTCCAGAAAAAGTCATAGGCCTTCGATATATTTGCCCACACAGAATGGGAGAAACCCATACGAGCCCGATCAGTCTGCCAAATCGAACGGGGGTTTGGGTATTTAATCTCGATCAAAATCCTCCACCAGCTACTTCTTTCTACCGCGAATCTCCACAACCATTTAGCAAGCATAGCCTCATTGAAGCTCCTGAGATCGTGAAACCCCAACCCACCTGCATTAATCTCGGCTTTACACGTTTTCCAATCCACAAGAGCCATCCTTTTGGAATTCCCAGCCCCATTCCACAGAAATCGCTTCTGAATTTTTTCCAGATCGTTAATAACTGAAGCCGGTGCTTTGAACAGCGAAAATAGATAAGTAGGCATACTCGCCATAACTGCCTTTCAAAGAACCAATTTCGCCCCATAAGAGAGATGCCTGCTTCTCCACCCATTAAGTTTATTCTGGCATTTATCAATCACCTGGTCCCACATCGCAGCTTCGTTTGGTCTACCACCGAGAGGAAACCAAGATATCTAGGGGGTTCATTGCTCCACTTACAACCGAAAATGGAAGCGAAGAAACTAGGTTCTGCCACGTCCCCAACTGTATACATCACAGACTTGTCGAGATTAATTCTGAGTCCCGTCACCGATTGGAAGCAAACAATAGTAGCCAGAACATACAACACCTGTTCATACTGAGCGTCGCAAAATATGAGCGTATCGTCAGCAAATAACAAATGAGTCACCTCTCCGGACTTCTTAGCTTCATCCATACAAAAACCTTCAAATTTACCTGCATCTCTAACCGACTTAAGCATCCAAGATAGCACGTCCATAATGAGAACAAACAATCCGGGAGAAAGGGGATCTCCTTGACGTAATCCCTTCCAAGCTTTGAAAAAACGTTTTGCCTCCCCATTAACAAGTATGGAAATAAACGACGAACACATACTGCCTTTCACCCATCTGATCCATTTCTCCGGAAACCCATAATATTGAGAATTCTGAACAAGCACTCCCAATTCACATTGTCAAAGGCCTTTTCTATGTCAAGTTTGAACATGAGGCCAGGCTTTCTGCTTCTACGCCTGCTGTCCACGAGTTCATTAGCAATTAACCCGGCCTCTGAGATCTGTCTCCCCTTAACAGAAGAGAACTGATTAATAGACACAAGCTTCGGCAGAACCAGGCTTAATCTCCTCGACAAAACCTTACTAATCAGTTTGTTGATGCTCCCAATCAGGTTGATCGGCCTAAGGTCTCTGATATCTTCGATCGTGTCTTTCTTGGGGTCAAGACAGACAAAAGAATGAGTGACACAATTGGGTAAAAAACCCGTATCGAAGAAATCTTGAAAAGCTTTAAGGACTTCAACTTTCAGCCTTTGCCAACACTTTTTGAAGAACTCCACTGTGAAACCGTCGGGACCGGGAGCTTTGCAACCATCACTGTCTCTGAGGCTTGACCAAATTTCCTGTTCCGAGAAGGGCTGCACCAGCGCCCTGTACTGATCTTCCTCGAGAAAGACATTCGCCAATCTAGAAGGGACTGGACGATGGTAGTTAGATTCACAGAACAGACCCTTATAATAATTTACCATGCCGCTCCCAATCTCCTCTCTCTCCTCAATCATCTGACCGTTAATCCTGATTCTGTGTATGAAATTTAGCTTTTTCCTGTAATTCGCAGCTTTGTGAAAGTACCCTGTGTTCCTCTCTCCCAATTTGATCCACCCTTCTCTTGATTTCTGTCTCCAACATATCTCTTGTAAATATAAATCCCTACTCAGTTCCAAAGTCATAAGAGCTCTTCTGCATATTTCATCTTCAATAAGAGGTCGTTGTTCTTCTATCGCATCCAATTCCATAATTTTACAAGACAAATCATCCACCTTAGTGTCGATATTCCCGAACACTTCTTTGTTCCAAACCTTAACTCTAGCCTTAACCAACAACAATCTCCTAGCGAGAAGGAAAACACCTCCCGAACCCCTGACATCCTCGGACATCCATTTGTCGAGCTCGACAAAGAAACGAGAATCCTCCAACCACATGTTTTGGAACCGCCAAGGTCTACGTATCTTATTATCCTCACCCCATTTTAGCAGCATCATATTATGATCGGACTCAATTCTGTTCCCAGCTATAAGGCTGCAATCTGGATGAAGAGAGTCGAATTCATGGGAAATAAAGACCCTATCAATCCGGGACATAGATTCCCGATTCCTACCATGGCTCCAAGTAAATTTATTACCGCATAATGGAAGCTCTTGCAGATTGTTGATATCGATGAAATCATTGAACTCACACATCATATCCGAGCTTCTTCTCACCCCTATGTAATCCTCATGATTCCTGACCATATTAAAATCCCCTGCAATGCAAACTTCCCCAGGATGTTGGTTGCAAAATACACTAAGCTCTGATAAGAAAACCCGTTTATCGTTCCTCTCCTGCGGACCATACACAATGACAAAATGGCACACTTTTGATATTCTCTTATCCCGTAGTTCCACCGCCAAGAAAAAGGTCCCCTCCACATAAGAAATCTTAGAAAAGAAAACTGAATCCCACGACACAACAATACCTCCAGAGCTCCGGACAGCATTTTTCGCAACCCAATCCATCTCTCTTATAGGGATACAACTTCTGATAAGAGAATCATCACACACGCCCATTTGGTCTCAACCAATCCCACAACTTTGGGATTCTGTCTACCTAGCAGCCTTTTAATTCTACCTCGCTTATCTTGGTCTCCAAGACCCCTGACATTCCATATACATATGTTTGTATCCATACCTTAATGATCAGAACGGTACCCCCGCCTCACTTGCTTAACCTTCCTCGGCCCTGATGGAGTTGCTCTCTGAGGCCCCAGACGAAAGATCTCCATTTCCAGCTTTGATCGCGAACTCCTGATCTTCCTTTGGTGCAGCTCTTCGGCCGAATTAGAAATCTGCCTCTCGAGTTCTTCATTACCATCCTTGTGGCTCAAATCCAAGATTTTCCCCACCGAAATGCAGGTTTCAATTAATGACTCCTTGTTGAAAGGAAAGGCATCCAGATCCCACTCCTGGTTTGATTCGTGCAGGCCACATGAAGGAGAGGGAAGTTCACGCAAATCATCGTTGTAGGGAACAACTTCCATTCTCGAAGGCGAAAAGGGTTGAGTTTCCGGAACCATGCTACCAACATCATCCTCACAGCAACCCTCCTCCCGCACACTATATTGTGGCTCCAAAGACTCCATATTTGTACTAGCTTCCACGTCCGCCAGCGCGTCAAAGTCTACCGCCTCCCCTACCTTTACCATCTTTCCATTAACCGAGAGCATCTCTAAGCATTCGAATGAAAAAGAAGAGGGCAACACCCAATTATCTAATCTCACGGATACAAGGTTCCAAGGCCAGAGGCCGCAGCAGTGGTCGGGTCCACTGAGTTGGTTTTCCTTCTATTTCTTGTTTTCGGGGGATTTGATCTCGTTTCCCCTGTTGTTTTCTCCTTTTGTTGTTTGGGCACTGGGTTCAGCGCTTGTGAACCAGGACCTCTTATGTTTCAGTTTCCTTTTTCCTTTCAATATATTTTCATCATTATCAAAAAAAAAAAAAAAACTTTGCCGTAACTCAAACTATTGAAACCCCGTCAAATTGAACTTGTAAGCTATTGACATATTTCGGATAGAATTGTAGAATCAGAAACCAAAAACCGTGGGTTAGGGCATCTTCTTCTTCACGATATAGCGATACCATGTCAGCTACTTACTTGTGTCATCATGTGAATGTGTGGAAGCTGGCGTTTGTACGTAGCTGGCAGTGTGTACGTTTGTCATGTGGTTAAGGGGGTTGATTAATCTTTGAAAGTCACATGACAAGATGATCATTATTATCGTTTGACTAAGCTAATCTGGCCTTATTTGCTTAAGTACACCCGTGAACCCCAACTTGGCCGAATACTTATTTTACATCCTTACTTACAAGATCCCTAACTAGCATTGAAACAACAATCCTGCTCTCTTAATTAATTGCTGCTAGTAGTACCAGTGTACCACCAGACATAGTAGTACCAGTGTACCACCAGACAAATTACCCGGCAGCCGCAAAATTTGTTTGTATGTGCACTTGGATGTAGGTTACATGTGGGGGATTGGAAAACATTGGCACAAAATCCTAAATTAAGTTTCAGAGTCGTCCATTAGGTTGTCATCTCTGCCGGTATAATTTCAACCAAAACGATCTCAAAGCTGTAAATGTCGTTCTTGTCGGAGAGATGGAAGTTATGGTGATCCTGCTAGCCGAGGTAATCGGGACTCTCCTATGGAGATATGCTAGATATGAACTTCTAGGGTTACCTCTTATTGATGCATTTCTAGGATCTCATAGTCTCAGGGTTGCACTTCCTCTTCAATGAGGATGTGTAGAGTGGAGGAGGCCTTTCGTCGGCTGAGTGACACAGATTCGTGATTAAGAATGCTGACAAGGAAGAAGGTTGGGTTGCCGTTGTTTTTGGCCGTTGCATGGTTCCTCCAATAACTTTCGAATTAAAAGAGTTGGTGGTGGAGGAGTAGGACGAGAAGCGAGCCAGGTAGGGGATTTTCGGAAGCACGTGCTGCCGTTTCAAGTACGATCGATGAGGGGAGATGACTTTTCTTACGTTATTAGGTGTGTCGGGTTTCTAGTTTAGGTTATTTGGTGGTCTGATGTGACAGGTGGAGTTTTTTTATTTTATTTATTCGTATTAAGTTTGGGTGACTCAACATATTTATCAGTCACAACTTCAAAATACTAACGATATTAACGAATTCTGACGAGATTTAACGAGAAGTGACCAAAATTGAAATGGTAGTTTAAGTACAATGACCATTAATGCAATTTAAGCTTTCATGGGACAGATGTGAAACAAATTAGTAATTTTAGTGACTAAACATGCTCTTTGCTTTTCTGTAGCCTTCTATGGGCTGATATGCTTATCATTGCAATGCAAAAGCAGGGCTGGGCCTGGATGGGATGGGCTGGGCTTCTAGGAACTGATGAAGAAACCCGATCTGGTTACATATTATTTTCCCAAGCTCGTACGTACGAACGAACTATTCACGTGGAGATCCAAAACTAATGAACTACTTCATTTCTACCTCATTTTTTAGGTTTGGGCTTCCCAACACAGAGACCAATAATGGGTGGGGATACCAATGCAATTTCCATAGATACGGATCCAACCCTGACTTCGTACGTACATACAACTAGGCTTTGTATGATAATTTCTTTCCAATACTAAGCCAGTTCATTAGTACTCTTGGGCCCCCAAAGTATAATCAGCCCGTACTTTTTCCAATTAATTGCTGAGCCATTTGAGAGGATGTTAAAAAACCCACTAGGGACTAGGGAAGGAGGGATAGTTGGGCCTACGCCGGTAACAGCCTATTGTACCTTTTATTGGTTAAGGCTAGGGATGGCAATGGGTCGTGTTTTGTCAAACCCAAACCCAAACTTATGGGTTTATCCGCAAAAAAAAGTCGGGGTAAAACCCGTTGGGTTTGAAAAACTCAAACCCAACCCGCTGGGTATCCGTGGGTTCATGGATACCCGTGGGTTTTTGTGGTAAAAAATTTACAATAACAAGTTTCTTTCAAAATAAAAGTTTAACATCAACTTTCTCATACAAATTAATCATACTAAAAACACCAATATAGAGCATACAAGCAAACCGCAAATGATCAATACAAATTGTTCAAAATTAAAGATAAACATCTATAAACAATAAGATTAATTGAAAACTTCTTCCTCGTCAACTAAGTTTCTTCACTCTCCACTTCATCATATCAACTTCATTCTAAACAATTAGAAAGAACAAATTATACATGTCTCCACAAACATAAAGAATATTAGTTGTTTAATGAAGATATATTATTTAGAATATTAAATATATCGGGAAAGTAATTATATGTGTGTGGGCGGGTACCCATGGGGTGGGTTTACCTAAACCCAAACTCAACCCGACCCGGTGAATAGTGTAGCGGATTTAAACCCGAACCTGGCCCAAAACCCGTCAACATGGGTTTTACCCGCGTTGACCGGGTTGGGTCGGGTGGGTACCCGTGGGTTCGGGTTTTGTTGACATCCCTAGTTAAGGCTACTCATCTTCTGATTGGTGATCTTTAGCGGCTTGGATATATTTTTTTTGGTGAAAAGGGTGCAAAGCACCGCAACCTCAATTACGTGATCGAACAAACGGTAAAACCGCCCATAGAGTCATACAACAATTAGTGACTAATGTAAGGATCCTGAGGATCCACATGGTGGGTACCGGACTAAGAAAATGACCTAGATGTGCCAAATGGTCCCTGTAAACGTGGGTAACTCTGAGCTCTCAATCCCGCTTCCGGAGTTCGTGGAAAGAGAGCACGAGGATGGCGTGCTGGTTGTCCGTCGAGGCAGACTCAAAAAGAAGTTGAACGGCTGTAGTGGAATCCAGTTGAAATTCCACTCTTCTGTAGTCGAGGTCCCAAGCTAGTTGAAGACCTCGTATGGCGCCCCGAAGCTCCGCGCGAGTGATTGAACATCTCCTCAGATTCATCGAGTAAGCCCCCAATAAGCAACCCTGCCCGTCTCTAAGCACACCTCCTGCAGCAGTAGACCTCGATTCCCACAGGAGCGAGCCATCGGAGTTCACTGTGAGTCATCCTGTCGGAGCTGGTCTCCACCCAATAGCCATGTCTCGATGCAGCCCGACCTCCCAAGCGATATAGCGTGTTATGCTGCTCTGCTTTGTTGCGCAACGACCTCCTAGGCTAGGATTCTTTGGGATAATTTATTGGGTGCCTCCTCGATGCCTGCGAATATTTAATCATTCCGCGAACGCCATAGGAACCATATAGTAAAGCCAAACCGAACCTGAGACTATGTGTTTGAGAGAAAGTGCATGAACTAGTTGTGGAACTCCCGTGAATCCGAGCTTGTTGTTGCCTTCGGAAGGGTTAAGCCTAGGGGTGGGATTCGGTCAGTAAAAAATTTACCGTTTACCGAATTTACCAGTTTTGGTAATACCGAAGTTGGCCAAACTGGTTACCGATTACCGATTTGTAACCGGTTTACCGATTACCGAATTACCGGTAAACGGTTACAAACCGGTATTACCGAAATACTGTGAGAAGCGATTTCGGGCGGTTTTTCGGTCGGTTTACCAAATATTTACCGAACCGAATTTCTGAAAGTGGGGTGATGTTGTAATATTTTGATTTTTTTGAGTATTTTCATCATTTTTTAATTAATAATTTATTATTAACTCTTATTTACAATATTTTTGAGGCCTATACTTACATTCATGTATGTAATATTTTATATTTTTGGGGGTAAAGCAACAAAACGCAACGTAGAACTAGGGAGTAGGGAGGGGGGATTCAGTATAGGTAATACCGATTTACCGTCGGTATTTACCGATACCGTGTCCGGTAAACCGACTCCCCTAATTTCCCGCTCGGCTGGCGATACCGCCGATAAACGGTTTACAGCTTACCGCCGGTTACTGGTTCGGTAAAACGGTAAACCGTTTACCGGATTACCGTTTACCACCCCTAGTTAAGCCCCAAACTTGCCTCGCGAAGCTGCAGGTACGGAACCCATGCTCCAGGGACTCCGAGTCCTGCTTGCATCGCTGGCAGGTCGTACTTGTAGCGAAGTGGCGTCGTCGTCATTCCTCATTGGTCAGGAGCGTGCCATGAGTGCCAGCCAGAGGAAGTGTCGAACCCGGCTCGGGCTAGGCCATTTCCACACTACTTTCCACCCTGCGTGCGCCTAGTCTCCCTCGATAGCCGCCACGGGCTGGTAAGCTGACTTTAATGTGAATTTGCCATTATCCTCCAGTCCCCATACCAGCTCGTCCTTCCCGAGCTTCGGCTGCGGCGGCGACATCCCAATCACCTGCAAAAACATCTCATTAGGAAGGATAGAAGATAGTAGAGCGGAGTTCCACTCACCAGTCGATGTGGTCATGCTTGCGACCGAAGCTTGCAGGTGGACTCCCCATGCCGAAGGCAACAAGTGATTTGCCAAGACAATATCGCCATCCACCCACTTATCCTGCCAAAACAGTGTCTCCTCTCCGTCCCGAATGCTCCACAGCACGCCCTCCAGCATCATGCCCCACACACGCCGTACTCCACGCCAAAGTTGAGAGCAACGGGTCTTACGCCGGAGCTCCACTCTATCTGGGCCCTCCCTAAGATACTTCTCCTTGAACACCCGAACCCACACCTCCCCCGGTTGCTTGAGAATTCCCCAAGCGAGCTTCAAGAAGTACACGGTGTTCAGATCCCACGCATTCCGTAGCCCCAGCCCGCCCTGGTCTTTTGGGAGACAAATCATTTCCCAGTTGATCAAATGGATTCGCCGTCGACCTTCTTGAGAGCCCCAAATAAACGCCCTGATCTTATGATCCAGGTAATCACATATTCCCGCCGGCAACACCGATGTTTGTATAACGTAAGACGGGATGGCATTCAACACCGAGATAGCGAGTGTAACCCGACCTGCAAGAGACAAATCCTCCGCTTTCCAACCTGCAATGCGTTGGTCAATGCGATCAATAATATATTTATAGGCATGTTTCGTCACCCGGCCATGCAAGACAGGTACACCAAGGTATTTCCCCAGATCCTGTGTCATCGGGATTTGAAGGTGTTCGCTCATCTCTTTGCAGACGTCTCGCTTTGTATTCTTTGAGAAGAACACTCGAGACTTATCCGGACTCGCGAGCTCCCCCGATGCCTCACAACAATGTTGTCAAAATCGCGCTTTAAAGCGTAAAATCGTACGTTTTTACCTTTTCAACCCACAAATACGCTTCAGTGTCTACGTGAAGTCGCATTATATATAAAATCGAACAAAAACGGTTGTAAAATCGGTAAAATCGTAAAAGAACATTAAAATCACGTTTCTAGACCGATTTTATACGTTTTTTAGTTCAGTCCGGAAATGGCCAAAATGAGCCAAAGCGGCGCCGTTTTAAAGGGTTTTAATAAAAAAAAAATTTGGTATGGGCGAACAACAGGCGATCCATTTTACCCTAAATCGGTAAATCCCTAATTCTTCTCTTCTCCAGCTCCACAAACGCGCAGCGCCGTCCTCTTCAACCTTCTTGGCGCCGCCGTCGTTCCCGTTCAACCTTCGCGGCGCCGTCGTTCCCCTTCAACTTCGCGGCGTCGTCTCCTTCGGTCCTTCCCCTTCAACCTTCGCAGTTCGCCGAGAGGCCGCCCTCCATCTGGCTGAAGCGTCGCCGTCCTCCAGGCTGCTTCAAGAACCGTCGCCGTCCTCCAGCACTGGGTAAGTGACAGTTCCTCCGTCAGCACCTCGTAGACATCTTTCCTTTCGGGAGAAACTGCTGGCAGAAGTTGACGGCTTGACACCTCGCGTAGAGATCTTTGTTACTTATAAGTTATAACTTCTTGGCCACTAATTCAGGGTTTTGTCATTTGTGTTTGTACTTTGTAGAATCCAAACGAACGCCCCCTAATTGCTTAGCCTAAGAGTGCCCTTGAGAATACGGTAATTTTGGTTGATAAAGAGAAGGCCATTTTTCTACCTCATTGTTGTGTACACGATCTGCCTGGAAGTCGAACATTAGGTATAGGCGTATAGCACAAGTGGGTTTGCATGTTGGAAGCTAAATAACACAAGAATTGGAAATTTGTTATTGAACTTCTGTTTTCTTTTTGCAGATTTGTACTAATGTCGAGTGGTGGTGTCGGTACTAGTGCAAGTAATTCTGTGATAAATAGTAAATCAAAGAGGAAAAATGCACCGGGAAATCGTAATGATCCCGGTTGGCAGCATGGTGTAGATGTACTTGGCACTGGGCAGAAAGTGAGGTGCAATTACTGTGGCAAGGAAGTTTGTGGTATTTCTCGATTCAAGCATCATCTTGCAGGAACAAGAAAGGATTCTGTGGCTTGTGTTAGTGTTCCAGATGAAGTGGGGGCAAAAATGCTAGAGCTACTCCATCTGAATGAAGAAGGGAAGGAGGCTAAGACAAGGAAGCTGCATGATCTTGGTCTTGGTGGGAATGTAGATGATAGTGATGTTCCAAATCGAGATTCAGTTCATTCAAATGTGGCGGGAGGCAGTTGCAGTAGTAAACAAAAAACAATAAGTGCACTTTTGAAGAAAGATCTCCGAGAAAAGGCTTGCAAGACAATATCACAATGGTGGTATGAAAATGCACTTGCATTCAATGCAACTAGAAGTTCCAAATATAACCAGATGTGGGAAGATGTAGCTCGACATGGTCCTGGTTTTAAACCTCCTTCATATCATGAGATTAGGGAGACTTATCTGAAAGAAGAATTGAAGGAAGTAGAGAGTAAATTGGAGGTGTTTAAATCTGAATGGAAGGCGGTGGGTTGCACTATAATGTCTGATGGATGGACAGATAAGAAAAGAAGAGTTCTTTGTAACTTTTTGGTTAATAGTCCTCGTGGAACTGTATTTCTTGAGGCTGTTTACACTTCTGAGATTTCAAAGACTGCTGAGAAGGTGTTTGAGATGTTGGATAAAGTTGTTGAGAAGGTTGGAGAAGAGAATGTTGTTCAAATTGTGACAGATAATGCTTCAGCTTATAAGGCGGCAGGACAAATGTTGATGGAGAAGAGGAAGCATTTGTTTTGGACACCATGTGCAGCCCATTGCTTGAATTTGATGTTGGAGGATTTTGAGAAGAATATTAAGGTGCACAAGACTACAATTGGGAAGGGTAAAAAGATCACAAAATTTATTTATGTCAGAACAATGTTGATTGCCATGATGAGAGGGTTCACTGAAGGGAAAGATTTGGTTAGACCTGCAGTTACTAGATTCGCTACATCATATTTGACCTTGGCATCTCTCCATGACAACAAAGGTTCCTTGATGAGAATGTTCTCTTCTGACAAATGGAGGAAGAGCGGCTTTGCTAAGCTTCGGGAAGGGAAAAGAGTTCAAGCGATAGTACTTGATGGCAGATTTTGGCAAGATGTGTCAATTTGCCTTAGAGCTTCTCAACCTCTAGTCAAGGTTCTACGCTTGGTTGATTCTGATGAAAAACCAGCAATGCCTTTCTTATACTTTGAGATGATCCAAGCAAAGGAGAAGATTAAGAGCAACTTCAACAATGTGGAAAAAGGTAATTTTTCAAACTTAGTATTTTTATTATATTATGAGACAAATCTCTATGTTTTTTATTATTTTAAGTTGTGAATTTATTGTCTTTTATGTAGATATAAACCTATCTTGAAGATAATTGACAAAAGGTGGGAAGATCAAATGAGTAGGCCCTTTCACTATGCTGCATATTGGTTGAATCCCCAAATTCACCATTCTCCTGGTATGGGATTTAACTATAATGATCCAAAGGTGAAAATAGCTTTGTATGAATGTGTGAGTAGAGTTGCAAAGGATGATGAAGAGAAGTTTAAGATTATGGAACAATTGCATGTATTTCATCATGCTCAAGGCATGTTTGACAAATATGGTGCAATGACCTTAAAGGATAGGCATCATCCTGCTGATTGGTGGACTTCATTTGGAGATGAAGTGCCAGCGCTTCAAAAATTTGCCATCCGATTGTTGAGTTTGACTTGTAGTGCTTCTGGGTGTGAGCGCAATTGGAGTGCATTTGAGAGGGTAAGTAACAAATTGCCTCTACTTTCTTTAAATGATATCAATTATCATGTTTGTTGGTTATAAGTTTACAAGTTTGGTTTGTTTGTCATTCATTATTTTTACATGTTAACTTTTTTTTTTAAATTCATACTAAGAAAAAGAATAGCCTTCAAACACAAAAGATGAATGATCTTGTGTATGTCATGTGCAACAACAAGTTGGTGGGGAGTAATGTCAAGAAAGCAAGAAGGCTTGAAATTGATTTTGAGGATATAGACTCCGAGAATGAATGGATTTGTGGTAGTGACACTGAAGAAGAAACATCACAAGCTGAAGCTTTAGGAGTTGATGGTGGTGAGGAAGGTCATCATGCTGTTGAAATTGGTCCTACTATTTCTATTGGTGAGGATGGAGGCGATGATGCTATTCATGTTGATGGTGATGGTGGTGATACTATTCGTGTTGATGGTGACCGTGGATTTGATAATCCACTTGATGATGGCGATGACGATGATGATAATGATGAATTGGATGCCAATGTTGAAGGCGATGATTTAATGTAGTTTTCTTTCTATCATTTCGAACTTTTGTGTGCTTTCATTTCAATTTCAAGAATTTGGATGATTAAACTTGTGTCATTATGTAAACTTAAACCAGCTTGTTGGATTTTAAAGTTGATATATGTGTGACTATGTCGTTTATGAGTTGCTTATGATGTATGTTTATCAACTTATGTTTAAGATGATATCAATCATGGTTTATTGCAGGTAGTTATTCACTTCTATATAATTTATACACTAACATTTTATACAACACATGTCGTACTTAGCAAATTTTTAGCTATTTTACAGGATGCCTAAAAAACTTACGCTTTTACGCTTCGATTCTACGCTTTACGATTTTACCCCTTTTCCGCTTCTAGGTAAAATCGCGCTTTTGACTGCATTGCCTCACAAAACTTCTATAGGCAAGACCTGATAACCTCGGTTTGCTCCAAAGAGGCCTCAGCAAAGAGTACCAGGTCGTCTGCAAAAAAAGATGGGTTAGCTCGGTTCCTCCCCGGACCAGTTGGATTGGTTTCCACCGCTTCCTGCACAGCTCCTCCTGGATTAAGTGACCCAGACGCTCGATACATAGGGTGAAAATATATGGAGAGAGCGGGCACCCCTGGCGAAGCCCCCTGGCCGACTTGAAAGGTTTCGTCGTAGCACCGTTCCACAGGATCTCAATCGTTGAGGATGTTAAGCAGGCAACGACCTCATTCACAAACCTCTCCGGCAGCCCTGCGGAAAATAACATACTGACCACGAAGCTCCAACTCGGCCGATCGTACGCCTAGGCCAAATCGATTTTGATCACCATCTGCCCTTTCTTCCTCGTCTTCGTATTCATGGTATGAACCACCTCCTGAAGAATAATGATATTGCTATCGAAAAGAGAGGTTGGTAACCATTCTTCCTAGGGGCTTTATAGGGCCCCATGCTCTTTAGTGCGGCTAGCACCTCGCTCCCAACCAGCTCAGCATCGAGATTGGTCATGTCCTCGAGGGCAGGGAAAGCCAGAATCAAGAAATCCACCGAAGCCGACTGGTCCGTGAATAGGGTGCGAAGGAAAAGACTCACCATCTGCATCATCTCCTTTTCGCTCTCGGTCCACTCCCCATCCTCCCGCTTGAGCCTCCGAATGCGGTTGCCGCTTCGCCGTTTGAGAGTAGCAAGATGAAAGAAACGTGTATTCAAGTCCCCCTCAACAAACGACTGCGCGCATGCCTTCTGATACCAGAGAGCTGCCTCATGCCTCAGCGTTTCCTGCAGACTTAGACGAACCTCCTCCTCTTCCTTAAGACTCATAGGCGACGGGTGAGACTCGTTCCTCATCTCTAGGCGGTTGAGCTGAGCCATGAGTCGTCTTTTTCTGGAAAAGATGTCTCCAAACACCTCCTTATTCCATTTCCGGAGATCCGTCGTAAGCTGAGCCAGGTTGCTCCTGTAGTTATCACCCTTCACCCATCCATCCTGAAGTGCACGGGAGAAGTCATTGTGCTGCATCCACGGCGCTAGGAAGCGGAATGGCTTCCCCCCTCTCCTCGGCCTGTGCACTCTCTCCATCGCAACTAGAATGGGGCAATGATCCAATTTGACTTTAGTGAGATGGGTCGTGAAGGACTCTGCGAAGCTCTATAGCCATTGTGTATTGCAAACAGC